CTTTTCATTTGCCCTTTTATTTGCCATTTCATTTGTTTTTTTATTTGCTCTTTTGTTTGCCCTTTTCTTTATCCTTTCATTTGCCTTTTCGTTTGCTTTTTTATTTGCTTTTTATTTGCTTTTTCGTTTGTTCTTTAATTTACCCTTTCATTTGCCTTTTCATTTATCCTTTCATTTGCACTTTCATTTACCTTTTTATTTGCACTCTCGTAAATATCCATACTTTCATCTACCATTTCATCTATCTATTCATTTACTCTTTTATTCACTATTTTATCTACTTGTTCACTTACTTTTTTATTCATCATTTCACTTGCCATTTTATCTATTTTATCTATTATTTCGTCCACTATTTCATTTTCGCTTTCATTATCTATTTCCTCACTTTTCAACTCTTTATTAATGTTATCTAATACTGTAGTACACTGATTAAAAGATCTGGGGTCTAATGCAAAAAACTCATCAAAAAACTTACAAAAGACTTGGGTATATTATACAGCAGTGGGTCTGTATTACAAGAAAGTGAAATTTCTTTTATATACATACTCTATATTCATGATAAGCAGTTTTTTTTTTTTTTTTTATCGGCAGCCTCGCCGATATCTTTATTAGATCAAAGCTAATGTAAAACATTAATATTATCTAAGTTACAGATCTGATATCACTTGGCTTCTTCTATAGGTGCCCAAGTGCGGTCTGCCTCATCGGTTAAGGCTATTGCCCGTACCAGAGGGCTGCACCAAGCTAGCTAGCGAAACTATAATAAGATAGTTTCAAATTGAAAGAATTTTTGACTACAACTAATTGGCAATTTTCCTTTTCTAGACTATCCTCCTTTTTACAATTATTTTCTAAATCTAATTTTCCAATAATAAACAATTCTATTTCCTCTCTTAAAAAAGGGTTATTGCCAGAATTCTTTTGTTTGTATTTATATTTCCTTTTTCTCTTCTTCTAGTTTAGAATATCTTTTCTGATTAAGGACCACAGGCTCTGAGATCTTCTTATATCCTTCTCTTTATCACGTTCTTCCTGCTCTGTATCTTTATATTCTTCTTCTGGTTTTTGTAGGTCCGCTCTCAAGATCTTCTTTAGAAAAATTCTTCTATAAACCTTCTTTTCTTCAAAATATATTGGGCCCTCATTTGGTCTTTCTATTTCTGAGTCTTGGATAGTTTGCTCAAATTTTCTTCTTTCTGCATTCTAGGTATGACGGTCCTTTTTCTTCTTTTTCAATACTTTCTTCTTTCTTCTTTTTTCCTTTCTAGCTTTTGGTTTTTTTCCTAAAAATTTCTTTTGTATTTCGTGAAATATCTTCTTATTTTCAAAAATAACCACAACAATCTTT